TTGAAGTCGTCGGAGAAATTTCCGGCGAGAGAGACTCTCTTCGCGGCGAAATTCAGAAGCTCGAAGGTTCTCTGAGAGAAAATGAAGATGGGTTTGCTTCCAAATTGGAGGAGGAGTTGAAGACGAAGGAGGCGATTGAAGACGAGGTGCGAGTTTGTCGGGGGACGATTGAAAGGTTGGAGCTTGAGAGAAAAGAGAGAGATGTGTTTTTGTTGAAGTGCCTGGATTCGCTCCGATCGACCAAGGAGGGCATAATCGGAATAATCGACGGCGTCGGCGACGAAAAGGCTGAGAATGGAGCTGAAGAAGCTGAGGGGGTTTGGGAGGAGAGTGCGGCGGTTGGGCGGCTGGCAGCTTCGGCGGAAGCGAAGGTGAGTGAGTATAAAGAGCTGAGGAAGAAGGAGAAGAAGGAGTTGGAGAAAAGCGTGGTGAGTCTGACAGAGGAGAATAGGGATATCAGCAGCTTGCTGAGGGTTGCTCTGGTGGAGAAGGAGGCGGTGGAGAAGAAGTTGAAAGGAAACAGCGAGCAGAAGCGGGTGGCGCTTTTGCAGATTGCGGAGAGGGGTTTGCAGAGAGTTGGGTTTGGGTTTATGATGGGAAGTGGGGGCAATGAGCAGTCGCTGGAGAGTTCCGGGGATAAACTGGACGGTGCAGGGTCTACCGCCGGAAGTAAATCAGATAGTAGTGACTTTGAAGAGGGGGTTATCAGTCTGGTGAGTTCAATTTTTCGTTGTTTAGGTTGTGCTAATTTATGATTTCTCTCTCTGTTTGATTTATTGTTGGTATTTTCGTGTTTGATTTTTCGTATCAGGCATCGACGGTAGAGAAGATAATGAAGAACCTGCGGCTCGAGATCACTCAGTTGAGAAGATCTCTGGAAGAATCTAGGTAATTCGTCGTCCAATCGTAACATATTTGAATCTGCATTTATATTTTGGTTTGTTGTGAGGTAGGCCTGGCTGTAGAAGATATCGCGTTGGTTCGGTGTTGTTCACCTGAATTTGGATTTCGAAATCATGTAAATAATGCACTTCTTAGTTCTTACGAACGGTTTAGAAAGAGGGAGAACATTGTTTAGTTGAGGGAAACGGTAACTGTTTTGAGTATGATTCTCAAAATTATGTGATGGAAATAGTACTGTACTGTAAATGTTGAGTATCGTTGATTTAGTTGTCGATTACTTGTTATCAATCCTATGCCAGGTCAGACACTGAGCGCTTACAGAGTCTCACGGAAAAGCAAGCTCAAGAAATTTCGGAAAACATGCAGTACATCAAGGAGTTAGAAGATAGAGAGAGGGCGTTAACTCAAAATGTAATGGCTAGTTGCATAACAAAATCCGTTGTTTGTTTGCTTTGCATTCCTAAAGCGTACTCGCCTTCTTGCTGATGTGTTTTCTCATCGTATGGTTGTAAGGTTGAAGAACTCGTGATCGAAACAAAGGAAGGTGAAGCAGAGGTTGCTAGATGGAGAGAAGCTTGCGAGCTAGAAGTTGAAGCCGGGAAAACTGAGATAGGAGAACGTGAGAAAGTGGTAAATTTCTGTTCCCCGTTGTTAATCGCTATTGATTGATCGTTTTTTCCCAGTCACTTGCAAGGATTTTGTTCTACGCTTTATTTTCTTATCTGGTGTTCCTGAATTTAGTCTCTCTCACTTTGGTATGTTATTTCGTTAGATCGCCATTCTAAAGCAAGAATTGGAGAAGACAAAGACGGCTTTGGACGTATCAAATGCCAAACTGAAGCTGAAAGAAGAACTTGCAGCAACCGCTATGGCTGCACAGGCAGCAGCAGAGAGATCCCTGCAGCTGACTGACAGCAGGACATCAGGACTGCGGAAGCGTATAGAAGAACTATCAAAACAAGTAGAAGAAGCAGAAAGCAGAGAGCGCAATAACCGAAGGGTGAGATGCATATGTTGGCCATGGCGACCCCTCAAAGCTGCCAACACTGCACAAAACAGAATCGGGCCTGTAAGACGGTTGCTACCAGAAATGCAAGCCTTGCTTCACTACAGCGGGTGATAAATCAGTTACTTTTCGGTTCAAATCAGTTGTATTTGTTTGAATCAGTTTCTTCGTTTACTTTTTAAGATGTAAATAAACAATTGCTCGAGCACAGTTACGATGTGCAATGTTAAAGTAACTTACCAAGATTTGAAGTTCCTTTTCAGTTGGGAGCGCTCGTAATCAAGCGAAGAACAACTAGTTTCCCTTTGGCAACCAAAAGCAGAGTATTTTCAAGACACAGATCCTTAAATTCGCCTTCGAGACACAAGTTTCTGAGATTTGGAGCGCGGATGTTTAGAGCTAAGCTATCAAAGTATGACAAAGCCAGACTCTAAGTAGAGGGCAACTGGAAATAAGACTTTCAATTGCATCAAGAGTAACCATTTTATGTTGGGGGTTGGCGAAAACCAACATCCATAGGTTACCCATAGGATGTTACACAACATAGAATCTTTAACGCTTGAAGAGCTTGAACCTTTGACAATTAAAATTGCAAACTCAAGTAAGAATGGTACCATGTCTTTATTATGTGCACTGTGGAAACAATAGTTCTTTGAGATAAAGGACTCTCTCTGGACGTTTGGCCATCAGCACACATTACAACTCTTCCTGCAAGTCCCGTAGTAATCAGGGGAACCAACCATGAAAACCGGGTTCCTTTGACACTCCCCCATCGAAGCCCACCTGGGACAGTTATCATCTTCATCGGTGCATTCACTGCTCCCGGAATCAGAAGAGATCTTCTCGCCAGCAATGGCTTTAGCATGAAGGAATTTTGTGGCACACCACATTTCCCCTTCAAGTACAGGGCATCTGGTATGTGGACTGCTCTTGTCAGGTGATGCATTCGGATGAAGAGTGAAAAACAAAATCGCGTTCCCTTTAACGGGTCTCAAGATGCTGCTGCTCCTTCTACAATCAGACTGGACCTTGCTCGTCAGCTGAGAGATAGTTTCAACCACGGTTAACAATTTAACATACGACAATAAATCACAAACCTATATTGAAACGCAGAAATAAAATGATAGTTTCTCTCTAACCTCTGATTCGGGGAATAGAATCTCACCACCACGAGTGACATTTGAGAGATACAAAATAACTGTTGCTAATAAAGGCTCAGTTTGTTCCAATGTGGACTTGTTACCGAAGTAGTTGAAATTCTTGTCACCCTCCTCGTTCCCAAAATGGAAAACTTGTATAGCTCTGCTGTTCTCTGAAGGACAAATACAAGCACTACATGTGTAAGGTGGATCAAGTCAGCCAGTTCAGGAACTGAAGACCATAGCAACAACAGCGAGGGCAGATACCTTTCGGAAGGAAAGTCCAAGCTGAAATTCTTGCCTCAATCCTTGAAACTACCTCATCCTAGCAACCAAAAGACAGTTAATTAAAGAAAGGAATTTGGAGTACTTGCATCACCAAATATTAGGCAGCATACAGCCATGAAATGATTAACAAAACACACTTTAACAAAACATAAAATTCTACCTCCATGTCCAAGGGAATTTCTAAGCTTTTAATTAACCTCATGGTGTTGGTGTTTCCTAACTCATCATATTCGGTCACAGATTTATCTTCTCCCCCGAGTGCCTAGGCGCCAGAATACCAATTTTAGAACTACTAAGCAGCCTTAACCGATTAATATGCTGAAAGTCCAAAAGGATGACGTGAGGGATATACCAAAGAAACAAGGTGGTCACACTCCTCATCTGATAGAAAACCTTTATACAAAAACACCCTATTGCAAGAAGGATGACGAAGTTAGATTCTCAAAGCAACGAGACATTACACATTCCTGGAACTGGAAACTTTGAGAAAATCATCATACAAGAAATTCATCAATGTACCTGACCTTGGTTGCCAAGATAATTGGACAACGCGTGACGGGTCAATTCGGTTAGAATGAACCGAGTGGCCAAAATGTATGACAGTTTCTTGGATGGTTTGATTAGTCCTCAGTTCCTTCCTGCTACTGAAACAAAATAGAGAGAAAAAAACATTCTTCCTTCAGTTTGTAAGAAGCATTATATTCTTATTAAAGAGCGACCCCAAGCCAACAAGGCTCCCCGCTTCGCAAGAGAGAAATATTCCTTACTCCACGACTCAAACCGGTGACCTTTGGTCACAAAGGAGCAACCTTTCTGCTGCACCAAGGCTCAGAATATAATCTTATGCTAGGGTTTTCAGGAATTCATCCAAAAACATGGATCAAAATCATTAACCCTTAAGCAGAATTAGACAGATAATTAACACTCTGAATTTCAAGCATCTGTGCCCAGAAACCCATCAATTAATGAACGAGAAAACGAGGCTGAATTGTGATAATTTCAATTAAGAAAGCAATAATTGCGAAATATATTAACAAATCCCTAATTAGCGTTACGGTAAGATTGAATCGCAAATAAAATGGAGCTTGCGGAAAGAAAATTGAGATGAAATTCTTACATTTCGGCAGAAGAGCTGAAGAAGGAAGACGTAACGGAAAGAAGAAGGAAGATCGAGGCAAGGGAGGCCATTGAAGCTGAACCTCCTCTCCTGCGTCAAATTTGAAAGCTAGTTGATCTGGGAGGCCCTTTTTTCTCTTCGTTTCTGTTAAATGTACAACACTTTGAAATAGTCAATTTCCACTTAAAAATAATAATTTACTAAACAAGATTCCGCTACTGGAGAAGAACTTTCTTGAAACGACATATTACTTTGTCATTATCCCAAATTAATTAAGTATTGTCACTAGAAAAGTTTAAGATGAACAGTAACATAACCAGTTTTAAATACAGTCACTATGATTGTCATCCCTTTGTAAGTTTCTCTCTCGACATTCGTTGTAAATTTAGTACTTTCATATGCGTGCGTCCATTTTTGTTCAAACACTTAGACAACTGTATTAATTGTCATTAGATGAATGCAATTTGATTTATGTACAACCACATTTCGGAATTTAAACTCATTCCAACTATTTGGCATCACAGAAAGCCACAACTTTTGGCTCAAGAAAAAAGCAATGAATCAATGAATTCAAATGTATTCTTTTCTCCATGTTTGTACCTGAAACAACTACAGTAATGATCGATCACTACTTATCAAACAATAGTAATAACAACAACAATCACTCCCTTCTCGTACATTCTTTTCTCTAGAAAAACCGCGCTGTGAAGGACTTGCTTTTCTTAGTCGATCCAAACGAAGATTCCCCGCTTGATCCATATGAGTGATCTTCCTCGTCCTTCTCGTCAAAAGTTCCGTACGGAGACGGTGAATATGCATGAGGCACGGCCAATGTGACAGCCCTCTGTAATGCAGCCTTGTACTCTTCTGTGTGTTCTTTGGCTAATGTCTCCTGCCGCTCCATTCTTTGCTTCGACGGAATCTCCATAATATGATCTTTCTGCAACATTAACTGAAGAGAGGGGAAACACGTACAGAGGTTCAGACACCGGGCGAGGATTTTAAGCTTTAAGATCTACATGAGGCTTGAGCTAAAAACTTACATCCAGAGCCCTTTGGGCTTCTCTCTCTATCCAAATGATGGCGTGGTCAGAAGTGGCATTACAAGAAAGAACGATGTGCTCAAATCTCCCGTCCACGGGAACTGCTGTCTTGACAACGGGGGGAAATCTTCCACACCTGCAAACAAAAGTATGTAGATGGGAGATCTTTTAACAGCATAACATCAGAAGTTACTCCCTGCTCAGCAAAATATCCATTGAACTGTTGTATCTTTTGTTCAATATGGATGTCAAAATCCCCCGGACATCAGGTATTACTGTATAACATCCCCAATAGGAAAGGTATAGTAGTTAATGAGGCAGAATATAGGTCTCTAATATTCTATGTTGGATTACACATCTGAATTTACACATTGTAGAACAACCGCACATTGACTAAAGCAAGAACAGAAGTGAAAGCTTGTCCTTGGTACCTAAAAGGCTTTCTCTCAACAATGTGATAAAGGCGGCCAGGTGCATAGAGCCTCCTTGGATCTTTGAGCATCTTCTCCTCAGGTATACATGTGTCCCTCATGCATCGTAGGCACAATATGCAAGGCAAACTGTTAAAGCATCAAATATAACTTCAATGCAGATAAACTGAGTCCAAAATGATGTCATCACCAAACTAATTCTCAAAATATTAGTTTGCCTTCAGCTATGAAGGTTAAAAACAGTGATCAGAGCCATCTATACCAGAAAAGTGACTTGAAAATGTCTTCCAAGGGTGTAGCAGTCCGCGGTAAGAAGTCATCCTGGTCCGGCATAATGACCACAATCAAATCTAAGAATGTATTGACAGAACCACTACTACTTAAAGATTCTCAAAGTAAATTTCATAGAGGTGGAATACATCATTTTTTCTATTTAGTTATGAAAGAACAAGCTTCCACACATTGCCAACACAGATAAACATAAGACAAGGAGATTTTGGGATGAAAATTTTACACAAATATGAGACAAAAGATGCCAATAAGTATAAAATCTAAGGCTGCAGAAGCATAATAAGATGTATACCCATTTAAACTTATTGTACAAAATAAGAACAAAGAGAGTTAGTACATACTTACCTGAAGCACAACAGAATTGATGACGTCTGCATATCTGACAGCTAGGTTCAATGACATACACCTTGCCGGTGCAATAGCATAGCCCCTAACCCTCTTCCGATCAATGTCCCCCAACCTATCCCTGTTCTTCACTACCACCATTGTTAACAATGCTGCTACACCTGACCCTAGGGAGTGTCCCGCGAAAGTCAAAGTATAATTTGGATAATTCTGCACCAGATCTTTCAAAATTTCACATTCTGCATCCATAACCCATTGAGCAGATTTCAATAGCCCGTTGTGAACATACCCGCCATCAAATTTCCTCTGGCCGAGCTTATTATCCATCAGAACTGCATAGTCACTCTCTCTTGCCAAGTTAAGGCCTCTGAAGGCAAGAACTATATCGGCATGATTGTGATCAAGATACAATATATAAGGAGGAGCTAGACCTCCGGTATCTTCATAAGTCTTTTTCAAGATTAACCAATCTGGGTTAATTCCATACCCACCGGGTGGTTCCCAAAGAGGGCATCGAAGGTCATCTTCGTAAACTGCTAGAATGTAGCGGCAAAGGCGAGGAACAGGCTCAAATTCTTCAGCAGTGGAAAGGCCCCAAGTCTCACTGTCATGACCCGCTGTGTGGAGGCATCGCTTCCACGCCCAGCGGGTACATGCCAGACAATAAACACACTCAAGGACAGGACACGCACATAGGATTGACATTGAGTCCTACTCTAAACATACTATGACACATCAAAACTCAGAATTCACAATACACCAATCCCTAAGGAAATTTCAGCAGCACATAAACATTCGGATTCTCGCAATCCCAATACAGGTATTCATTGACTAATGTTCAAAAGAAATCTCAGTAGAAGCACATCAAACACAATGTTATATAATTTGATCCCAAATTACACAAAATTGAATACTTGAAAACTGGAACCAAAGCTGCTTTCTTTTCATACCCAGAAGCTGAAACTTGACAAAGAGCTCAGTTGGATCAACTGGGTCTCCACCATTACTGTATTTTGAATTTTTGATGCACTGATAAAATCTTCAGCAGCTGAAACGATCACAATCTCTACATCCAGCAAACACCAAAATAAGAGAGGAAAAAGCAGAGAGAAGGAAAGTACAGATACCCAGAAACCAAGATTTCGGTTTTGATCAAATACTGGAGTCTCGCGGCAAAGACACGAGAATTTTCACAAGATTTGAGAGCATGGACTTCGTTTTTCGGATGAAATTAAAGCGTGGTTTGGCGTACATTATACAAATTTGGTACTAAATTAAGTTAAATAATCAAATAAACAGTGAATGGAGGGTGGTCGTACCTGCAAGTCAATGGCCATTTGGTATTTTATGATTACTTGGAAGGGGGTGGAAACATGACGAAGGTGCGCGGTTAAGGCCAATCATCACTGTTGGCTTCCATTGGCAGTGGCAGTTGTATAAATTCGGTCGATTTACAGTGGCATTTGTTTCGTTTCATTCACTTTTCCTCTACCGTACTGTGGTAAAAAAAATTCACATAGCCCTCTTAATTTTCGATTCGTGGACTGAATAAATTGAAAAAAAGTAATGGTTAAAATTTTAATAAGAGTATGAGTGGTAAAAATATGCATGTAAAAAGCACTATTCTTTACATATTGTGAATTTGTGATGAGAAATCATTGTGGCAGTAACTCTTCTTTAACCATGCGTGAGTTGAGCTTGATTAGTCTTAAATTCTTAATTAGGTTTGTCAAAAAAAAAAAAAAATTAATTAGGTATGAAACAATATGATTTTTTTCACCAGACATATGATAGGATCATTTATACTGTTCTAACCAACATGACTCTGTGGCGACGGAAAATAAGGTGAAATAAAAAACTAGAATAAAATGAACAGAAAACAAATATTTGATTCAGGGAAAATCTTGTTTTCTGGATTTAACCATTCCATTCAAAGTGTGAGGGGGCAATTTTATTACAGTTCAGCTATGTGATTGTGTACTTATTACAAAAGACTGCCTAGCTAAGCATCAGTGGTATAAATACTCTATATGAATCATGATGGATTGTGCCCTTCATCGACAAATTCTCAAAACTGTTTTACATTTCTGACTACTCAACAGCCCGACGTCCAAAATTTACTGTTAAGCGATCGCGGTCATGCCTTAAACTTCTGAGTGAGTTTCCCCACTCCTTCCCTACAATCTTCTGCGACACGCTTGGCACCTTCTTTGACGGCCAAGCTAAACTCCAAGGTGCTTTGCTGCAACTCTTGGGCCGATCTACTGGCCTTTGAAATGGTGGCGTCTTTTAGTTCTGCAGCCCCTTTTCCTGCCTTGAGGATCCACTCCCTCAAATTGGATATGAGCAAGGCTATCTTTTGGATGATCTGATCAATTATATCTCGGGATTTTCCTTTTATATTTGTTGCTAGTGCCTTCAGCTTGTCCATTAAATTCTCCCCTCTGTTGACAGTTCCTTCAACCGAGAACTGCTTGCTAGCATCGAGCCATGTAACCTCACCCAAGGCATCTTCTCGGAGGTCGTTGTCAACAACTACCTTGATTCCCTGCCTCTCCCAGCGATCTCTAGCCTCCTCAAGTACTTTAGCATGTTCTCTTGCTCTTTTTGCCTCATCTTCTGCCCAAGCCCTGGATTAGAGAGATTGAAGTCTTAGAATGTTGGGTGAAAAATACGAATTCACTAGATGCCTAACAGATGCATAAGACTTGGAAGCTAAATACCTGGCCATGGACAAGGCTTTCCGTTCAACCTCTAGATCATACTGTAGGCGTGCAATCTCCTGGCTTTCGGTTTCCGCTTCAATCCTAAGTTTGCTAATTCTTTCTTTTTCATAGGATATCTCCACTTTGTTACTCATTAGGCTCTGCAATTGTTCCTCCACCTCATGCCTTAACTTGGACAGAACTTCCATTTCCGATTCAACGGCTGCATGCTCCTTCATCAAGGCAATATTATCTTCCTCTCTCTTAGACCTTAACCTTTCCAATTCACGTCTTGCTTCTTCAGCCATTTTCTCCACGGCATCAATTTTTTCCCTCTCCAAGGAAAGATCCTTCTCAAAATTTGCATTCACATCCTTTTCAACTTCAGCTACTAAAGCATTATGTGCATCCACAGCATTTTCTGCTATAGATTCTGCTTCAATACGTGCAAGCTCCTCACTCACTGAGTCAGAATACTCTCCGGTTGCAAGGGCAATAGCAGCCTGGGCTTTTGTTACTGGCTTATCCGGCTGGAAGAGTCTGGTGTAACCTTTAAATCAAAATTGAAAGAAATGTCAACTATCAAACCCGTAAAATTGTGTGAAAATTAGAAATACAGTTACGAGCCATGACTCACCAAATGCAAGAGCAATAATACCCTGTTCTCCAGATAGGTCAGCAACAAGTGCAGGACATGCATCTGGATGTATCTTATCAGCGTCTATAAAACCAGAAATTCGGTAGAGGACCTGTCCAAATGCACATAACAAGTAGAGAATTAATAATTCAGAATAATAAGTAGAGAATTAGTATTGAGACCTACAAGCAGAAGAGTAGCTCAAAAAGAATAAAACTGAAAACAAGCTTATACTGTTAACAACCTCCTTGTCAGCTTTTGGGAGATATCTTTTCTCTAGGGCCATCTTCCAACTTACAAGATCCTGCCGTGATAGAGGGCTGCAGCAAGGAATTGCACAAAAAAAAAAGGAAAATAAGAAAAACCATTACCTATGTAATTTAGCCTAAATTCTGGAACAAAAAGCAAATCGATGAACATTTACATGCAAGCAGAGAAACATATTAAACAAATATAGATAAGTTACTCAAATATACTGCAAGGCCTCACAACTAGAGCAGCTAATTTCCAAAGGTAATGAGACCATGCAACGAAACAAGTACTTGTAAATTTTCAGTCATGAACGGTCAGGATAATTGGTTTGGAGGAGATACACCCGGCGTATTCAGAACTAGACCAAAATAATGCCAAGTGATTTTAATGAAACAACAAACTGAAGAGAGCACTACATTACAAGGAATAAAATATACTACCTTTCAGGAGAGAAGTAGAATGGACTTTCATCTTCATCCATGGAAGAACGCATATCCTTTCTTGACAGCTTGCTAGAAATAAGTCCAGCTTCAGCCAAACCTGAATGGATGCAGGGAAACTATAAGCAAACAAAGCCTATCACACTATCACTTAAGCTACACCACAGAAATCTAACATGCTCAAACCTTGAATGGATGGAAAATCAGGGTCTTCAGGTGTAATATCATCAAATGCAAGCTCGGTAACATTCTCAATATACATAGAAGGATATACTTTAGAGATTGAGTTCCTACAGTTAACACAGAAGAAATTATGTCAGTACGTGTAGACCTATAATATGCCTCACAAAAAAAAAAATTAATGTTGCGAAGATTTATATCTTGTCATGGAGGGTTTTATACCTTGAAAGAGCACTACTTGCAGAAACCAACCAACGAGCGTATTCACGTCGTGTACACAAATCACCAGGTTGAACATCAGCCTCTATGACCTGAAACAGTTGTCATTTAAATTACAGAATGGAAACTGGCTTACAATCTATGCAACCAAAACCATAAAAAATAATGAGAACAACTCTGTGTCGAAGATTTCCAATTCAAAATTTGTCAAACTAAAGGACTCAAATCAAATGCAACAATAGGATTGAATGTTCATACAGAGAAATTGTTGTAAAGACTTTGGAACAAGGAAATTAGAAGCAAAATATGACAATATATCAGTACCTTTAACACTTGCAGCGCTGCGAATGCCTGCCCCTGAACCTGATCAACAACGGCAGGAACCAAAACCTTCCCAGGTGGCACCTGTAGAGCTGCAGAAACCACAGTTGGAGCAGGTATGCCAGCAGAAGAGAAGGAATTCCCAGCATTTGGTAATTGTGACTTGTTTCTAGACAACTCACTTTCAATTATGGTATTCTTTTCCAGGGATGAACTAATTCCCTCAGCTAAAACCTGCAGTGTTTTGCTCATTTCAAGGTTTTCTTGGGTTGAAGATAAGGGTACAGTCCCTATGTTATCTTCAGACGATACCTGAGGTTCTAAAATTGTGTTTGACTGTGAAGTAAGTGAAACATCCACAGCTACAGGTACATTGTGTTCATGCGCAATGGCACTTAAAGAAGAAGACTCAAAAGTGGAAATATGATTTTCACTTCTCCCGGGTATTCCATCCTGGGGTTCAGTGCTAAGGTTTGAATCAGAGGCTTGCAAGTTAGTTGGTTCGACACTCACTAGGTTCCCTTTAAGTTCAGAAGCCAAATCTCCTATACCTACAGCGAGGCTGCTGTCAAAACCCTCAATCTCAGAGGCAACAAATGAATCATTGCCATTATCAGATTCAGACAGATCAAATTTCCTTGTGAATGTTTCAGGTTCAACTGATTTGTCATCGGAAGTTGATTCAAGTGGTGAATCTCCTTTATCAGAAGCATTATTGATGGCATTGGCTTCAGTACCTCCGGATGTGTTTTTAAAATCTTGTACAGACAAACCCCCTATATCATAATCATTATCAACTCTAATTTCACTGGAAGATTCATCAATTTCTGGAGATGAAGAAGAATCCTCATTAGTACCTGTCCTTCCTTCCGGACTACTACTAGCATCATTCTTCACATTGCTTTGATCATCTACATCTTCTGCACTTCTATGATTTTCATCATCATATGTCAATGATCGCTCCTGCTGCGTTGTTAACGGCTCCATCTGTTGTTTTGGGCCTGAATACATCCACATACGTTTTAACATATAGCCGGAAACAAGAAATACGTTGACTGCAGTTCAAGGCAAACTTGTTCCATAAAACACATATCATACACAACCATAAACAATACAAGATACAAATACTTCCATTTCCATCAATGTCATCAAAATTTCAGTCCATGTAATTCAGAGCTTGATTATTATCGAAAGAAATAAGGCAGCTACTTACTCGAATTCTTTCGCTTTCCCAAAGACAATGCTGCGAAAGTAAGCCCCGCAACAAGAACGACTCCGGCAACTCCAGCTCCCACAGTCCCTGAGAGCAAACTACTCCAAAAATGTTACCAGCCAGACAGAGAATAAATGATGAGAAAACGCCAATCTAATAGAGTCGAACAATTATTACCTCCAAACCATTTCTTCCTCTGTGAATCCAATGACTCTTCCCCATTATCTGAACCGGACCACCCTTTAAACCCGTCAGCATTTGAATTCGACCCGACCCACGAACCCCCATTGCGACGGGGCTCCAATTCAGCCCCGGACCTCTCATTGCCCTGAGCAACGCAGAGCACTCGAGCCCGACGATCCAGCTTCCCCAATC